GAATCTGTCTCTGCAGAGCGAAGGGACCCTAGGAGACTAGTTTCCTAACTTTAGTACCTACCCTAGATATTTAAAATTAAATGAGACAAATATCCTCCAGCTATAGAAAATGTGCTTAGAGGCAATTATCCCTTTTGTCCTTCTCAACTTATTAAAAAAAGGCGTAACTTGCTTCTGGTGCTTACTGGCACAGCATGCATAGCAGAGCTATTTACAGATAGCGTCCGGAACTGCTCCCTCTATTGCTGCGCTTCCACCTTTTATAGAAATTAGTCCCTTTAAAAGGTAACGTGGTAGGAGTTTGTTGTGACATTACTCAAACTCTCATTGTTGCGGCAGAAAATGGAGCATACTATTAAGTCATAAATACAGTACAAGTATTTTGTTGCTGGTTATTTGAGGGAGGGGGGCCAGGGAGAGACCTATTATTTTTAAATCCAGGTGCTGGGTTCAGGTATTTAAATTTGAATGCCTGGAGATGCCATTCCTTCTCATCTATACACAGGAATAAATGTGAGCAGGAAACTTCCCAGGCAATTCACGCACCTCACTTGCGGAGATCATGCCAGTCTCAACACGCCCCAGCTCCACTATCTGCCTGGTAAGGAGATGAATGCAAAAAGCCACAGGATGCTGAAGAGCTGTAGTGGCTTTATGCTCGCTAGGAAGAACGAGAATGAGACCATCGCACTGATTTCACTAAGATGGCTCAAGGGACAGTTGGTAATTAGGACTTGTCTGTATATGAAAGTTAAATCAGAAAGTGCACGGTCCCCCTGCGAACACACCAATTCCTGTTTATTTTAATTCCATTTCAGTAACTCTTCCAAAATAATTCCAAGCATAGACTAGCCCTTAGTTTCAAAATCACAACCAAAACAGCTATTTTTAATTTGCCTCTCAGTTTCAGAACAGTGTGTACGTGCAGAAACTTGTGGCACTGCCCTGAGGAAAATAAATCTAAAGACACCAAGGTTTGATAGAGAGAACCCATCTCCTGATGGTGAGCAGAGGACTGTACTACCCAACAGCTCCTGACAATGGTCTAATGGTAAATAAATGCACAAAAGACGGTAATTCACCACAATTATACACAGTATCTCCCTAAAATGCTCACACAGTTCAGTGCTTCATAAACTTTGTCCTCTTTTTCATCTGAATTCAAATTTTCATGTTTTGACACTATGAACAGCTAACCACTGTACTTGGTTTCCAATAGAGTAAGCAGAAACAGTTGGCACCTAAGCCACGGTAATCCCAATTTATTATAAGATCTATGCAAACAAATACTAAAAATATGCAAACTAAACCGTTCCTAATGTATTACAGACAACTCAGTTTCTAAATGGAAACTATTGTCCGTAGCCAGGAATAGGAATATTTATCTTAGTCCTTGGTCTAACTCTCAGACTTCAGAGTGACAATACTCCTCCTGTAAACTGATCATGTGTGTTTTATACATTACAGAACTGTATGTCAAAAACATTACCAAAACTTTATTTTAATAAGTTACATTTAGATTTTCCTACTAACTTAAACCAAGAAAAATATGACTTCCCTTAAAAAAAAGGGAAATGAACAAATGAATAAGATTCTTGTGACTGTTCTCGACGCCGCAAGTTTCTTAAGATAGGTATTATTTCTTTTTCCCCTCCCTACCATCTTCAGCAATCAGTACACTGAAGCAAACAGAAAAAACAAAGGGCAAGTCTCAGATCACAGAACCACAGCATGGTTGAGGTTGGGAGGGACCTTGGAGGTCATCTGGTCCAGCCCCTCGCTCAAGCAGGGCCACCTCAAGCTGGTTGCCCAGGACCATGCCCAGACAGCTTTTGAGTATCTCCAAGGACAGAGACTCCACAGGCTTTCTTGGTCTCCCTCACCATAAAACGTGTCTTCTTGTGTTCAGACAGTCTCCTGTGTTTCAGTCTGTGCCCATTGCCTCTTGTCCTGTCCATGGGCATCACTGAGAATAATCTGTCTCCCTCTTCTTCATTCCTCCCCTCCATCAGGTATTCCTATACATTGATAAGATTTCCCCTGAGCCTTCTCTTCTCCAGAGCCGCCGCCTTTACCATTTTTACCCCAAAACTGCAGTTTATTTGTACTCAAAAAAGGACCAATTGCAAAAATCCTAAGCAACTAAGTCTTACAGGAGTCTGTGTGTGCATCCACAAAATCATTTCAGGGTTTAACAAAAAATGCAGCTGGGCAGTGGTAGCTGAAGAAAAAATATTTTTATGTAGTTCATCAAAATGAAACAGAGACATCAGGAATTACTGCACAAGCATGTATATGAAAGGTCAGTATTAAGAGCATCTAAATGCTAAATCTTCACTTAGAAGTATGAGCATGTGAAATTATATGGGAAACTAAATTTCTGGGAAAGATAACAGCTGACCTAGAACAATGCATTTACTTTCCTCATGTCTATTAATAGCTCCAGCCACCCTTTCATGAATTTCCAGATAAATCCGGGTAAGTCTCCTTTGCTTCTTTTCTCAACTTTCTCGACATTTGCATTTCTTCAGTATCCAAGGAAAAAGAGAGAGCTTTCAAGTAGTTGAGGGTTTTTTTGTTTTGTTTTTGTTTTTTTTTTTTTTTTTTTTTTTTTTACAAAAGGGGAACAAAACATGCAAGAGAAAAAACTTCATTCCTCACAAAGGATCCTCTCCAATTCAGGATGTCTGTCCTAATTGTGCTATTTATCATTCTTAAATGAAAACAAGACAGGGAGAAACTAGAGCTACTCAAACTAAAATAACAGTACTTAGTCCATTACCTAAAAAGGAAAATCCCAACACTGACTGCTACTACTGAGGCCAAATCTTCTTAAAAAAAGCCACCTCTTGCCAAGGCCCTTCTTTGAAGATCATGAGGATCTGTAACACACAAGACTCATGCCTCAGCCCTTCCTCATGTCAGTTCTCACAACATGTCCCATGCCTGGTACTATTTAATAAAGAGCCCCTTCTTGGATTTCTTTGTCAAGTCAGAATCCTAAAATCACAGAACTTATCATCTCAGTGAAGGACAAATGCTTTCATTTGGGAAAAATGTTGACTGTATCTAACACAGCATGTACAGATGCATTAAACCAGGAATTTCTAGCCTAGTCATTTCAAAAGCTACACCGTACGGAATCATTGCAAAAGAGTAATAATGAACATGTAAATCAATATAAAGTCACCCCCATACTCCATATAATAAAATGCTACATTTTATCTAGTTTTTGTAAATTTAGTAGTCCTGCAGATGTGACGCGGGAAACATATCCCATAAGATGCAATAAGTACACACAGTAAGAACCAGGACTAAACATACAATTTTTGCAAATGCACAGTGGGTAACATTTCTGATGACAAGAGAGAGTTAAACTAGTCATAGTCTTAATTATAGCAATATGAAAGATTATCAAAATAGCTGCAATACATTAATTACATTTTCCTATTAATTTCATGCATTTACAGAACTATACATATAGCTAGTTAGGTACATGAGATTTTAAAACAGGGAAAGGGGATACATTTCCACCAAAAAAAAGACATACCACAGGCATTGGCAAGGGACTCAGGGGCAGAAGCAGATCTTGGCATTTAAAAGACTGATTTTTCAAATTGTCACCATCTCTTTAATTTACTTCTTTCTGGATGGATTTTGAGGTTTGGGGATGGATGTTGTTCCGGTCTTGTTTTTTGCTATTTCAAGACAGGTAGTACAACTCTGGATGGAATGAAGCTCAGTTTAGTATTCTAAAGTGAAGTATCTAACCTGAGCTAAATCACAGCTTCCACAGCCTCCAGAGAGGCTCTCCAGAAAATGATTCATTCTACTTTCCTTAAATATCTATCTTAGGAGGAGATTAATAGCTCTCTAGAGGTGCCCAGATTCCTGCCTTAAACTAGATGTCTAACTTTCAGAGAGCTAACATTCAGTGAGATGAATTCTACTCACTGTGTACCATGATTACTGGACATCTTGTATCTGGAAAAGTTGGCATGAGAGCCCCAAGGAAAGAATCAGTCTTCCTTTTTTTTTTTTTTTGGTCTGAAATTTGGACTTCCAAGTACATGGGGTTTATAAGGTCCAAACTCCTATGCAAAACTGTTCTTCATATAAGTCCTGCTCACTAATGTACTTAATCATGTGCATAATTTAAACCACAAACACAATCCATTTCCATAGAGCTATCTAGCCAGACAGCTAAGGATTATGAATAAAAGTACGCTACTGAACCGAAGCCTTCAAGAGTTGGGAAGATGCTTTAAATGGTAAAATTATCATATTAATTTTTAAAATGACCAAAAGAATGACATATCTACCTACACGCCATCCCACACCAATTTCATACAGATAGTACAGAAGCCCCCCTTTAGTCTAAGAACCGGAGCACTTCAGAGCAAGCCTCTTTTTTTGGACATGTTAGCAATGTTTTTTTTAACATCTGTTGCCAAAGCACATCTTTTACAATGCTTCAGAAAGACAGACAAGATCAAAGGACAAGACAAAAAAATGGAATACCCTTAAAAGCACAATTTAGATCACACGACTGAGGGACGTTGGAGATGATGACCCAATTCCAGAATAATTAAATTCCTCCAACTGAGGAATTGGCATCATTCATTTTGGATTAAATGAAACTAGAACTAATTTCCCTCTATACGACTGCTTCACAAGGAGACAGTCCACAGCAGTTATTGGACTTTGCATTCACACTTTACCATACCCTGTAACACCTTTCACGTGCAGACAAACCAAAAGGCACTTCGGCAAAGCAACACAGGAAATCCAGCACACCTCCTGCCCAGGCTTTTCCTGCTGCACGAGTGGAGAGGAACTCAGTCTCCAGGTACAGTAAAACAACAGTTGAAAACAGAACTGCTATGAAACACCTTTTGCTACTACATTCACTTCACAAGAGTAATTCGTACACGAAAAACTTTGAGAGTTATAAGTATGTACACACATACAAAAAATGTTCATATATACACACAAACATACAGGTGCATATATATCATTTATACATACATATGTATGAATAGATATACACACATAAGTATGAAATAATAGAACTAAAAAGACAGTGATCTATTCTTGCTTCTTTGTGATGTAGAAGGAAGGTCTGAAAGCATGTTGTTTTCTTTACCCTGGAAATACTAGAAATGTCAAGTCTGGTCTATCCTCTCTTTGCTGGAAGACTTCTTGGAGGTATAAAGCCATAGCTAAAAGAGCTTCTTACCCACTGATTGAAGGTTAAAGTCTACAACTACAGATGGAAGTCTTTCCCAATTATTTCTCAGCTATTTGAACTATGTGTTAGCAACAGCTAAGTTTTAAATAGTCCAAATAAGAAGCAGACCTCAATTTATCTTTCAAGTGACAACAGAGAATTCCTGACCAAAACAATTTCAAACAGAAGGCACAACATAAGAAAAAAAATCCTTTAGTATGAACAAAACGTCAATTTAAACCTCCTTTATACTACCTAAAAAGCAATAGAAAATGAAATCCTTTACATATACATAATTACAAAAACACTTATTTGATTCACTAATGCTGTAGAAGTGACACTACATTATTTACCAAGTTTACCAGTTTGAAGGCACAATGGCTATTGTTTCATCCACATCCCATTCTATTTACAGTGAAAAACAAACAAGAAGGATCTCTAAGAAAAAGAGGAGATAAACACAGATGCACCCTGAGAAGTGAAATTTCACAACAAAAACATTTGTTCTGAAATACTGGTCTTTGTAAACTCCCATTATCTGAACCTGTGTTCTCCTATAACTAGGACAATAATGTTTAATACTCAATTACAACGAAAAATATTACTTGTAGATAAAAAAAAAGTTAAAAGTTAAGTTCCCAGAAAAATAAATCAACCCAAACCTGATTGAAAGAAATGAGGTCTCACACAGAATCACTCCCGAGCTGACATCTGTCAGTGGCGGGGGGGGGAGGAAAGTAAATCAATCTAAAGATCTCTGACAATGTCCAGTTTCCGGAAAAAAAAAAAAAAATGGAATCGCATAACCTAGTTGGAAATCCCATAGTGCCATCTGTGTGGAGGAAAAATCAAAAAGCCAACTGTGTATGCCCTTCTTTGGATCTGGAATTCCCAAAAGATTCTGTAAAATTTAAAAATCTGAAGAAAAAGATCTTTTTATAAAATCAGATAAGTGTTCTGTAGCTGTTTCATGACATGGTTTATAAAGTATTGGCACCAGCACAAAGAGTTCAAAGCGTTCATTCAGGAGTCACAGAGATCATCAAATCTTTAATGATTCGTAGCAGTCCTCTCGTAGCAGTTGGTTATTTACTGCGTAAGCTGAAGTATTCTTTGCCAGTGATCTTCGGTGCAATAATATACTTCTGCCAGACAAAATATTTTCCTTCTTATTCCAGTAGGTAGTAAGTGCCATCAATACAAGAATCGTGGAGCCAATATCAAATGACAAGCTATATTTCCACAGTCCATATTCATCAACAACGGCTAGAAAGGTAAAATTCTAAACTCAAGCTGTACATAGCAACATACTCTAGCAGTGGCATTCAAGAAAAAAAAAAAGACAAAAACTTCATCCAAGGAAGCGCAAAAGGAAGAAACCGCTAGAAGTTATCCATCAACACAGTTTTCCTTCTCCAGAGGCTAAACAGTGTTAAAGAGAGAGAGTGCAATAGTACTTTGAGCGATCACCTCTTGGAAAAAAATAAAAAACCAAAACAAATCCAATACTAAGGTTTGGTGATTATTAAATCACCAAATCATATTGCCCTTGTTTCAAACTCACTATATTTTCATTGCTGTTTTACTGAACAAAATGTTTGTTTTTACACTTGACAGTAGATTTGATGCCAGTGTAAGGGACAGTAGCTAATGCATCGTCCCAAGTTCTATTTTTTATGGTACTTTGCACGATAACCAGATGTATCACTAATCAAGTCTTGACCATGCCAGAAATTTGAAAAGAAAATTGCTCTGGAGTTTTCTACACATTACCAGTTACGACACTAAGTACCTGGCTCAAACTTTATATCCAATACCAAGAAGCAGCTGGTAATTTTCTCTTTCGTTTCTGCTCTAAGTTCAGGTGGAAGATTCTTGCATTTATCTGTTGTGTCGCTTAGGCTGGACTGTAAAACATCACTACGTCTAATTCAGGTGGAGGAAGGGAGAAAAATGTATCAGATACGATTCACTGCCAAAAAAAATGAAGACAAAGAGTCTTTTCAATCCATTCTTATACAAGCTTAAACAGGTTTTCAAACAATTAATTATAGGCCAGATCATAACATCTTATGTTGCAGGCCAGACTAGAATGCTACAGTATGTGTGTATGTATATACAGATACATCTGTATAAATTTATATATACACAAACACACATACATAAAAAGGAAGCACCCATCTTTTTCTTACTGCTAAATATTGAACTTCTGCTTTCACCTGGATATTAACATAGTTTATTGTGTGTATCACCCTATAAAGGGACATTTAAGAAGACGTTATTTATTTTCTTCTCATTAAAGCCACACATATGGCTGGTATTTAAAAACATGCAGTGCCACCAATTAACACAGAGTAAAACAATTCTTAGGTACAATATCAACTCTTTAAGAAATGCATAATACATTTAAATGTATTTTACCCATTTGTGTCAATAATTAATACTTTCCACTATTTCATAGGGGATTTATATTCTTCTTAAAAAAAGTCAGCACAAATTCACAGGAAACAACTCTGTCAAATGAATTCCACAGCAGCATATGTAGTGAGTCACTGGGTGAAACTCTTTTTTATGAACACATTAGGAAAGTTGGCATTCAGTTCTAGGACAACTCTATTATCAATCTGTGAACAGAAGGACACATCGAGTAAAGAAAGATCTTTACAAGACTCCAGCAATTTTCTTAAAGATGCAGGGCTTACCATCCTTGTCCCTGTTCAAAAACAAAAAAGAAACACAACAAATTGTAAGATTATGGAGAATAGTCTATTCTTTAAAGCTGCTAATACCATGTCATGAAAAAAATGCTACTATAATGCACTTTTTATTTAGATTATTTCAATTAGGTTTAAAATTAAAAGCTTCTCAAGGGACAGTGCAGAATTTTTGCCTTTAAGAAGCCTGTTGTACTTTCCTAATCCAACTGCTTAAGTAACTCCATTGTTTTCTACTGGGGGGCAACTTTACAACTTCAAGGGGAATTTCTAACTACAGAAGCTGAGCCCAAGTACCCACAGCTACAAGACCTCCTAGTGACCAGATGATGGGCTTTAGCAACAAGCAACACAGTACGCTACGCTCATGCTCTCATGACTCTCCTGCTGACTGCAGTGACCAGCACAGCACACGAGCTATTATGGGCTACTCCAGTTCCAAATAAGTCAGCAAGGCTTCTAGGACTCCAGAGTTGAGTATGGGTATCACGCACATGGAGGGGCAGCTGTTCAAGAGACTACCAATCATATCTATATATACACTAACCGTAACAGAAAACACACTATTTACCCCTGCTAAAAACGTGACCACAGTGACTAAACTCCTGTCACACAGGCTCAAATCAAGCATGGAATTGAGTCAGAAATCAAAGAAATAGGTGTTTATAAGCATGCATCCACACACCCATTATAGCTGATGGAAATCTAGTCAGTATAGTCAACGGTGCTCAGCACGTGATTCAGCTGATTGGGCACTGAGGTATGATTCAGTTGCCCGAAATGCCTAGTGCCCCTTGGGCTTCCTTACACCACATAGGACATCCACACAGAGCTGGTAGACAGGACACTGACCCACAGGGGGAGATCCATGCCTTACTGGAATGGCTGGAAGCCAGGCAGGTTACTCTGGGCAAGTGAACCGAGCCTGGATGTCTACAGTGGGCTAAATTGCTCATCAAGCTCTAAAAAGAGTTTATACATCCAACACGACTGCAACAGCTGCTGGTAGACGCTTCAACATACACAGCTCCATCTGGAGCTGAACTGCACCCCAAAAAGCCACCTAGTCCAGGATCTTGTCTATGGCCAGGGCCAATAAGGTTTACCAAAAAAAAAAAAAAAAAAAAAAGGAAAAAAAAAGGCAAGAGCAGATTTTTAAAGCAGCTTTTCACTGGTGGATCTTCTCAACTGCCAAAAATTATCAGTTTAGGGATTTCTGAAGCTACCTTTCATGAATGCTACTACTTTTCTGAACTTCTTTATACTTATGGCCCCTTCACATGAGTTCTACAGTTTAACTATATAATGTTAAAAAAAAAGAAAAAAAATCAGCCTTAAACCCAGTGCCTATTAATTGCAATAATTAAGGGGCAATGAATCATAAAGAATCAGTGGGAGATCATTCCCAGTTCACTATTTCCACATCATTCATAATCCTACAGACATCTCTTCTGTTCCTTCAAGGCTGTTTTCCAGACTCTTGTATCTCAGATGATGCTTGTTGTCTTGTTCCTGCACTAAATTTAGTACTTTTGGAATTGGATGACCAGGACTATACAGTGCACTGAGCACAAAGTCAGTAACTGTATAATGAGGTCTTACGGTGTTTTCTCCATTTCTTTCCTAAGAAATCTAACCTTCTGTTTGTCTGTTAGAATGATGCTGAGCAATGAGCTGATATTTTCCAAAAATTGTCCACAGGATCACTTTCCTACAAAACAGTAACTAATATAAAGCCACCCCCCATATGCAGTTAATGTTATTTTGCCTCATGTGATTACTTTGCACTTGGAACAGTTTTCCTCCTGCTTTATCATCTAAGTATCGTAAGATCATTCTGCCATTTTTCAGCATTAAGTTCTTCAGCTTAAGATTTTTCTACCCTAAATATCTGTGCATTACCTTCTGGTACAGCATTATTCACCCCTTTGTCTGGATTACTTATAAACAGATCAGTACAGACCCTTGGTGACCACAGTAGTGACATAACTTCACTGTGAAAAGAGATGATAACATTCTTATCCTCTGTTGTCTATATTTGAAACACTCATTACAATCCAGGAGAAGACAGCTAAGTTACAAAAGCAGAACAACCTTGGCTAAAGCTTTTGAAAATCCAATCCTCTATGGACTGGATCAGTGCTCACCTCCACCACGAACTCCCAGGAATTCTAAAAGACTGGAGAGGCATAACCATCCTCATGGGGACGCAGCTCTCCTTCAAAATATCGTAACGGCCTTCATGTCCACTGACTGACTGACTTTCTTATGGTTGCAACTGGTTTACGCAGAGCAAAAGACAATCTTACTGTTTTGTAGCTTCTAACCTGCACCCTTTACAGAAGATTTTGCCATGTTTGTAACCCTTCAGTCCTCCAGTGCTGAGGCTGATTTAAGTGACAGATCACACACCAGAAGTAAGATTTTCACAGCCCTGTATTTGAGCTCATTTAGAACTGCTGCATAAATACCATTTAGTCCTAACAATTCATTATTGTTCAATGTATTGATTTGTTCAAAAGCTTTCTGTATTGGCATTCTAATTTCAGGCAGCTTTCCGAGCTAATCTCCTGGAAAGAATGGCTCTGATGTAGCAGCCTACTTGATCCCCCTTGCCATGAACACTAATGGACAGACAACAGTTCTCCCGCAATGGCCTTCTCATACCTGAGCAATCCTTTATATCTGGAGTATCTACCAACCTCAGTAACTCTCCTTTAACCTTCTTCTAAGGTATCTGAAATACAATTTTAGCATTTACCTTTAGACAATGGTTCCATAACATCTCATTCTGCCTTACTGTGATTTTGTTTCACTTTCTAGAGTTCATCTTCCTATTCTTCTTCTCTGAACAGGATTCATTTCCAGAAAGATGCCTCTGTTTTTAGCAGTCTCCGGTACTCTTCATTGTAAGCCAGGGGGTATCTAAGGGTGGTCTTCAGTTCTTCTATGGTAGCCTCTCGGATTAGTTGCTTTGAGACATCACTTAACATCACCTGTAAACAGTCTTTGCTATCATGCCCCCAAATTTTACCTCATCTACGGGAAGGTAACCAAAGCTTGTCATTATTATTGTGATTTTTAACTCCCTTATCATTACATGATCACTGTCACCACAACCATCTGGTGGTTGGTGTAACAGTCCCTATAGCCATACACAGAAATTCTGTAATATGCTTTAGTTATTTACTTCACTTGACCATAATTTTACCATAGTACCACTGACCTACCAGCAGGATCTGCTCTGCCATTCCAACTGAAACTCCAGGAACACCACATTATGCTACTCATCTTTTTTCCACCAAGCCTTAAAATTGCTACTGCATCAGCACCTTCATCTAAAACCAGTCTCGTTTACACATCACAGCTTTTAAGCTTCAAGATCCAAATGTGTGTTTCTACAAAAATGCTAGATCTAGATGCCTAGCCACAGATTTTTTTGTGTAGGATGTTCTTCATTCCTTCCTACCTGAAATTCGACAGTTCTCCTACCGTTTCATTTAAGACTAAGATTTTTTTTAATGGATTTGTAACTAAATAGGCCATCCTAAATTACATGCTTTACTGCACCTGTTTCTTTTTTCCTCCTCAGACTTAAAATTTTGTGTTAGCAAATATCTTTTTCTATAAGCTAAAAAAGCCAGTAATCTAGCTGGGGTTTGGTTATTCACACCAGGGGATAAGAAAACATCATCCGCAGCCTGATTTTTATTTATACAATGTACAATTAGTGATATATATTTCTTAAGAGCACATTCAAAAGCATTTCAGAAGTGTAATACAGCACATTTTCCTTTGCCTTTGAAAGACTGACAATGTATCCTGCTAGTTACCTATATAGTGCTTTTTTCTAGAGTTCAGAGGCTTTGTTACTTACTACAACTTTTCCTATATGGACTAATCTGCCATTTCTCAGAATAAATACATAACTGGTATATTAAAATCTGCTATTTAATTTTCTTGTTCAGTTTATTCCCTGGAAAAATTCTCCGGTATTGCCTTTGTAAAAGACACTTCTGAGTAATGATTTCTTTGCTAGAACAATTATTTTTATTAGCTGTGAGTGATTTCATTTGTATCTATCATATATCTAAGTCTTCAAATTCCAGAGCTGTTCAGGAGATCTGTGTATGATGGCCACAAAAATTGCCAGAGCCCCAGTTTTTAAGTCAAGGGATACTACTACACCCCAAATAATATTTAAGAGTAGAGACCCTGAAAATAACTAGCACTATTCCCTCAAAAGTTCTTACTTTTCCTTTCCTTCCCTAGACGAGCCAGACAGCCTTTTATTCTTCACTTTTTATTCAATCTATTGCACATAACTCAAATTCTAAATTTTAACGTGCTACACATTTTCATGTTTGAATTGACTAACTATGTGTTGATGCTCTCAAGATAAAGCTAAAAATTTTGACAGCTGGCAAGGGGGCAGTTGGGTTTTCTGTTGCTCAAGGTGTGGGAGGTGTTGGTATGTAGATAGGAATACATGAGTTTTGCAGTAACAAGGGTGTCTACTTTTCATTACCCTTTTTGTGCAGGACAGAGGCAGTCAGGACTTTTGGGGAGTGAGGTTAAGATGACTTATTCTTCATCCTTCACAGCAGCTGGTAGCCCCACAACAACACAACTAAGCAGCTGATATGATGTACAAGAAAAGCTTTTGGCACTGCCAATTCAGGATGTCATCTGACTCATCACATTGCTCAACGCTGATCACAGTTTGAAGACTAGTTTTTAACTGCAGGTCTAGAGGTGTCCACTTAACTTTTGATAGCACTGGATGATGAACTCCATCACTACAAAACTGTCAGATGATCACAGCTGGATCATTCTGCTGCAAGGTGGAAACCCACCACGTTAGTCAGAGGAAAGGATGTGGGCAGAGAAGGAAATGATACTTGTAAGCAGCCAGCTCAGTATGTAATGGGTAAAAGAAAGCTCAGAACTAAAACTTCAAGAAGCACACCCTCATGTACTCAGTGACACACTTACATCATGCTTCCTCTTCCAAACTGTATTATAATACAGCAGATATGGATCCAACTCATGATTTTTTTTTTTTTTAAACAGAAATTTACTTTCTGAAGTATGTTTTACACACCACAAACACAGCCACCCATCAAACAATGTTTTACATAGGCCAATAATTTTATGGAGCGCTTGAAAACTGGCAATTTTCATCTGCTACGGAGTCCTCTGATTCTGTAACATGGGAATTGCCAAACAATAATAGAGAGACTAAGGAAAGGACAGACAGTAGCAAGCCACAGGACCTACCACCTGAAAACAGCATCCAGGGCATATATAACATCCATTTTGAAACGCTTAAATGAATGACACACAGTTCACAAGATTTCTTTCAGAGGCTTCGACTCCTCCAGTCCTGAAGCTATTGTGGTGATAAATAATTTATAAATGAAACAAGAAGTTTTCCCGGACAAGTTCATAAGTTCTAACAACTGCAGAGAGAAACCAGTATAGTATTGTCAACGCTGGTGACCACAGTGCAAGGTAAGACATTCTGATCCCTACTTAGGTAGGTGCCTGTATATAGCAAAAAACCTCAAGCTTTTATACAGCCGAAGCTTTTGCTGAAGCAAAAGTTCCCTTACAGCACGCACTGTTAACCTAGCAGCAATACTTCTACACCCTTCACAATGCATGTACAAGCCAGACATTTCTGTACTTGGGAGATGACAAAGGATATAATGAGAGTACCTCTCGTTCATTCACATCATAGAGAAGACCCACTGTTCAAGGTTACTCTTGCAAAGCTGAGCACTGACCTCAGGCCTCTTAACAGCTTCAGACCTGTTGTCACACTTCTTCAAAAGGACAAAAACATATTAAGCATTTATATAGCTTATGGTAACAGGATGGCCCTACATCAGCCGCCAAAGTTAGAGTACATACAGACATTTATGACTTTCTTGGTACTCCTGCACTGTGAGAGACTAGCTCTTTAGTTCAGACAACAGCGACTTCTGCACTTACATGGGAACACCTGGCAACTCTACCTCCAGATGACCCGATGTGGTTCGTACTTGACAACTCTTTCTTTTAACCACGGACTGTAACAACTCCCATATTCAGACAAAGAAATGAACACAGTTTCCTTGCTGCTGCCAAAAAAGCTGGGTAACTCCTTCACATATACCCTATCACCTTGTACTGACTCATTTACAGCAGAAGACAACCTTTCCCCCCAACTAAGTATTCCTCTGAAGGAAGAAAGCGAGGTCTGGAAGGTGGATATTAACGTTTTTGGTAACAACTTGCAGATAATTCAACTGGATATCCTCTGAAGAGCACCCATCTGAACCAAACATGCAGTCTCACTGGGAAAAGTTGACTACAAATCCATTTGACTCAAGAACACTGGTAAGCACCCAGGGAACAGAACAAATTCCTTTTCCACATTCACATCATTTTTCCACAAAAGCATCAATAAGATGTTAAACTGAATTAAAACGTGAATTCAGATGCTAAAGGAGATGTGGCAACAAACCTTCACAGCCAGCAGAGAGGCAACAGAATTAGCAGACTATCCGTTGGCTTAATACAGCCGAACTATTCATTGGGCAGCCTCTGATGTAGTGAAAAGGTCAGACCACTTTGTGGGCAGACACAATGCCATTGTAATAGAAATGCCTAGAAGTGGGTGGTCAGGAGAACATACGTGTTTATGAAAGACTTCATTCACTATGCCGTTTGGAAATTTTTCATGTCTGAATAGGGAAATGTGCCTTTGATAATCTAGCTACAAAACAGACTTCCTAAACGATATGCAAAACACATTACCTCCTGCGGACATATACATCAGGTCTCTACAATCTGTACTAGGTGGAGATAAGTTTTCTGTTCATCCTCCGTTCCCATGTTGGTCAGAAGGCAACTTTCTCAGTCAGAAATGAGTAAAACCGTATTTCATGGTAGAAGAGTGTACTAGCTCTACTGGAGTGACAATCTGAAGCCATATGGCAAATTTTTTGTAATGAGAAATGCTGATAGCCTTAAACTTGGTTGGAACATTATTCAAGCTGAGGGTTCTCAGTTCTTTCCAGCATCTCTCTCAACCTAAATGTAACATTTTCATTAAAATTATTAAATACTAAAATACGCAGTGCAGCTACTTTCTTCTCTTTAATTTAAATCTTTTTTCAACTAACCCCATGAAAATAAGTCAGTAAATGCATGAAGAAACTTCTCCCACCTTGATGTCACAAATACCCATGCTGTCCTACATTATTTTAAAAAGAAAACCTCATATTCCACCATAAAAAGTACACATGCAGTATCATGCAAAACCACATTTCTCAAAGTCCTTACTCAAGAGTCCAAAGTATATTTACTTTAGATTTCTAAAAATATTTTTAACTGCAGAAGCTGAAGAAGATTAGAAATTTAAGATTTGCTATGCTTTTTGCCCCTCATCACTTCCTTCCCACCTTAGTAGAAAGTCCATTTTAAGTTTTTGTGTTAATTACCTTTTCCTGTTTAATGAGTCAAATTCAATTCCTGGTAAAAATGACAAAGAAATTCAGTATTGCTTGGTGTATCTGTATTGCGCAAAAGCGGAAATCCATTTATTGATCACAGACTCACACTATAAATATACTTTGTCATTCACAGTAATAAAACAACAAACAAAAGCAGAAAGAAGGAGAAGAAATTGGATCTTCTGACAGTCAAAAGATAAAGATTTCAGTTTAAAAAAACTAATGGTCATGAAACTAGAAGTTACTGGAAAAATCTCGCACTTAAATTTCAGTTTAAGCAATTCATACTAAGCAGTCAAGTTACACTGTAGGTATAAATCCACTGGATTCTAAGTCAGAAACTCACTGCAGCGAGTAAAACTTCCCTCTGGTTTTTTTTTCATATGCTAAACCATAATTTTAAGAAATATTTATTTAAAAATATGTCTAGAAGACAGTTTTGTCTTAAAGACTCCTTTTTAACAGCAAGACTTTTGAGACACAGTAAGAAATTTACCAGTAGTTCTACATTTTCTTACCCAATATATCCAGCTGCCGTAAACGCGTACAGTTAGCAGCAAGCTCCTCAATGTCTGTGTCACACACAGACCTGTTGGCCGTAAGAAAGAGCTTTTGCAAGTTCGGGAGTTTACGTGCAAGGTTTGTGAAACAGCCTGTACTGCTCTGTAACGTAGGGCACCAGCCAAGATCAAGTTCTTCCAAAAGCTGGCAGCCTGAAGCCAATTCTGCTATTCCACTTTCAGTTATGTTTTTACATCTCCACAAATCCAGACTGCGAAGCTTTTTGCATTTTGCTCCCATCATGCTTGCTATAAGATCATAGTCTTCAATCTGCAAGGAAAGCAAACACGTTGTCCTGTATACCATCTTTCCAGACATACATAGGTGTTTCAGGATTTGCTTGCTAACACACTTGCAGATCTGTCTTGAGCATTTGTCATTTCTAAAAAACTCTGATAATTATTCATTGTAGAGTACAGTGAGGTCTACTTCTACAAATGACAAAAATAAAATAAATCTATCAACCCCCAGACATAGGTGTTTTTAAATTCACTTAATTTTAAAGATCAGTGAAAATGCAGTGAAAAGCTCATTTTCTTTGAAAACCCCTTCTTCTTATTGCACAGTTGTTTTTCCTTCAAAAGATGATTAAAACTGTTTTTATGACCATAGGCGCTGCCACCATAAGCACATGCAGATTGAAGAATGTGTTTATTTCCATTCTAGGTTGATCAGTTGCTGCATCTCATAGAATCATAGAATGGTTTGGGTTGGAAGGGACCTTAAAGATCATCTCGTTCCAACCCCCCTGCCGTGGTCAGGGACACCTTCCACTAGACCAGGTTGCTCAAAGCCCCATCCAACCTGGCCTTGAACACTTCCAGGGAGGGGACATCCACAACTTTGCTGGGCAACCTGTGCCAGTGCCTCACCACCCTCACAGTGAAGAATTACTTCCTTACATCTAATCTAAATCTACCCTCTTTCAGTTCAAAGCCATTACCCCTTGTCCTATCACTACATGCCCTTGGAAAAAGTCCCTCTCCAGCTTTCTTGGAGGCCCCCTTCAGGTACTGGAAGGCTGCTATAACGTCTCCCCAGAGCCTTCTCTTCTCCAGGCTGAACAATCCCAAAACTCTCTCAGCCTGTCTTCATAGGAGAGGTGTTCCACCCCCCTGATCATCTTCGTGGCCCTCCTCTGCACTCAGTCCAACAGGTCCATGTCCTTCTTATGTTGGGGGCCCCAGAGCTGAACGCAGTACTCCAGGTGGGGTCTCACGAGAGTGGAGTAGAGGGGCAGAATCACCTCCCTCAACCTGCTGGTCACGCTTCTTTTGATGCAGCCCAGGATACGGTTGGCTTTCTGGGCTGCAAGCGCACATCCTGCTTCATATTTTTCTTCGGCCAAAAGGAATATGAACCTGCCTCTTTTATGTTATAGGGCATCCAACAGGAGAGACAAAGGGAGTCTCTCCTCCTTTGAATATCTTCTAAGCCAGTACAAAAAGGCTCTCATAAAAACTGGCTGCCCTTGAGCCTAAGCCCTTCTGTGCTTAGAGTTGACAGACATTTGTATTTTGACCGCACCACACAGCTTGGTGTCGTCAGCAAACTTGCTGAGGGTGCACTCGATCCCACTGTCCATGTCGCCAACAAAGATGTTAAGCAGCACTGGTCCCAATACCGGCCCTTGAGGAATGCCACTCATCGCTGGTCTCCACTTGGACATCGAGCCATTGACTGCAACTCATTGAGTGCAACCACCCAGCCAATTCCTTATCCACCAGGTGGTCCATCCGTCAAATCCATGTCTCTCCAATTTAGAGACAAGGATGTCGTGCAGGACAGTGTCAAATGCTTTATACAAGTCCAGGTAGATGACACCAGTTGCTCTTCCCTTATCCACCAATGCTGTAACCCCATCGTAGAAGGCCACCAAATTTGTCAGGCACGATTTGCCCTTAGTGAAGCCATGTTGGCTGTCACCAATCACCTCCTTATTTTCCATCTTCTTATGGAAGTCTTATTAGTTACCTTGGGCAAGACAAAGGGACTGAAACAGGGTCCCACTATACAGGCAAAGGGAATGAAATCCACTATCAAAAACTGTAGGAAGACAAGGACTGTTGGAAAAACATAGTCACACTGCCTTCCTCTTCTGTACATGAGGGAAGGCTGAGCCAATTCTGCTTTGTCACTTGCTTCTTGAATGACGAGGAAGGTCAACTAAGTCTCCCTGATGAGTGATCTGGCATGTCTACCACCAGGGACAGCAGCAAGCCAGAATCCCACTACATACAGCTCTGGCACACACATGCAGTACAGCTCAGACGAGTGCCCTGCAGGAACTGCTGCTGTCCCTGTATTCTCTTTCTTTAAATCACTGAGTGCGCCCAACAAGTCTATGACTCAAACAGCTTTTGCTAAAAATATTTCTCTCATGGTTATTACTGTAGGGTCAGACACAAGCATTAGTCTGCTAGGAATGATGATTTGGTCTGAATAAAAATAAGTCAGTCTTGATTAGTTTTGGAAAAAAAAAAGTGATTATGCATATAAAGAACGCCCCAAAACTTATGAGGAGGCTGAAGAACTATGAGAAAGCCTACAAGCTATGTTTTAGGCCTACTAACTAGTATGTAACCCTTAAGTATATGACTAAGCTGCATTCATCTTGGACCTTTCAAGAGAGTATAGTACAACGTCAACTTACCATTTAACATGTCTGTGTCACATAAACCTAGGTCTAGGTCCAAAGCAAGTGTGCATGCACACACACACATCAGAGTGGTATAAGTACTCACCATGACACAGCTGCCCAGGCTGAGGTGCTGCAGCTCCGAGCAGAAGTTCAGAATACTGAGCAGTGCTGTTTGCTGCCACAGGGGAACACATCAGAAGGAAATATGGAAAGTGAAACAAAGAGAAGAGGTCAATTAGACATTAAAGGCTGTCACCACATTTCCTGAAATACAGCTCAAAACTCTGTTACAGACACCACAAATGCCACTTAATGAGTCCCTGGGTACTCTACCCATTGATTTGCTTAAAGCAACGGTAATCATTACAAACCTTTATGCAAGTCACTTTGGAAGTGGTTTTGCATTGCCCTGAAGACACCTATACACCCACGACCTATCTGCTCATTTCCCATAGGAAAGCTGCTGAAGAAGTGTGGCAAGTTCAAATAACAGGCAAGGCTAGGCCGAAACACAGACGGCTGGCGACATACCATAACAACAGCGGAGGCTCTGACATTCGCTGATCAGCTGCAGCCTGATGGAACTGCCAATAAAGCTGCGCAGCATCAGAACCAAGCTGGTGACTTTAATGTCAAAGGAGTCTCCGTGCTGACAAGGATGCTGACAACCATTGAGCACCTGTCACTACTTGCATGCAGACTGAAACAGATATAATGTGTATTTTACAGTCATGTTCCTGCCATTTAACATGGCCATCCTTTTCAGAAAGTACTGCACATTGCTCAGCCTGAAATTGGACTGGAACATCGGATGCATCTTACAAAATGTAAAGTATGCAGCTGTTCTGTTCCACAACAAGGGAAACTTCATGGGTTTTTATTTGTGTTTCTGAGATACAGAAAAGACTCTTCTGCATCGTCTGTAGCAATATTTTGTTTTGTAGTTGGAAATACACACAGTGCAAAAAAGAATGTTGAAGTCTGTGGATGTTTACAGGATATACAAGTTTCTAATGAAAAAAAAAAACCCCAAGCAATATATAAGGGACAAAATAATCTACTGCTAATAAGTGGAATTCCTACAAGAACACTACTCAATATTTGCATGCAGGGGTAGTATGACTTTTTTTTTTTTTATAAAAATTTGCTTGTTTTCAGAAAGTTTACAGTAAAATGCTTTATTTAGTTTCCTCAGTTATATTCTAATGAAACTTGGCAGGAACACGATGTTTTGTCATGCCACTGTGGAGAAATATCTGATCCCTTGCACTGAAAGGCTGGCAGACACAGAACAGGGACATAGCGTGGGGTACTCATGGAGACCATTTCAGACATCTAATTTAGGTGTCTCCAGGGAGCAATTAGAAACACCCAACACTTGATGTGTATGGAGCCTCAGCTTCCAACTTGGCCTTCCAAGATTTGATTTCCCAAAGGCAGCCTAGAAGTAGACGCTATGAGTAAGCCTTCCTCACATATATCTTTGCAGAGGTCTTACAAAGCCACTGTCCACTTGCTTGCTTTACTTTCATTCATGTTTTTAAAAAAAAAAAGGTAGCTAGGGAATTAAACAGAACATTAAAGAATCATTATTAAAGAGGTAACACTGAAGAACACTTCAAAGCTAGTAAATGCGTAAATATCGAATACGTTTTAAATAACATACTTATTAAGCAAATGCTTCATTTGGATCATTAAACCTGAATAAACAAGTAACTCCAAGAGAATGAGACATAGTCTTTACTATTTAACTCAGTGAAAGCTATGAGTTTTAGAACCTGCTCAGGTGCACAAATGAAAAGCAAAATCCCCAAACCCCTCTCTACAAACCTTAAATATCAGAGCTAAATAAATCAGTCTCTGACAGCACACACAGTTCTAAACAGGGTTTCTGCAAGTATTCAGGTGACTCCACAGGAAAGCCGAATACCTTGATGCATTCCACCATGGTTTTTAGTAATGGTTTCCAGACTGGAATTTAAACACTGCCCTGAAAGGATGGGAAGCAGCAACATCTTTCCTTAATTGACATAAACAGTGCAAAAGTGAACAGTCACTCTGACCAGCTTGTAGGATGTTAGATCAATTCCATACTTCCTCCTCTTCAGAGAGGGGTGAAATAAGTAGGAAGGCTAATGTTCATAGTTATCTTGATTAGATAACTGAGCTACTTTTGTTAACTTGAACAGGAATTTGATGCATCTCTCCGAATACCTTTTTTTAGTCTCTCTCTAATTTGAGACAGTCCTTCCTGTATTGATGCGCACTGAGTCCACATTTTCAGAGGTCTTTCCACAACCTATAAAACCTAAAGTAATATTTTAAACATTATTTAAAAAACCCAAACATTTTTAAAAAAGCACTAGGAGTGTGCTTAGAAGGGAGCTTGGTAGAACACCATGTCGCACCATCATAAATCATGCCAAGTCAAGCCCAAGAGTAAACAACTACTTACTCAACATTAATTATAGCAGCTATATTAATTCCTCTTCTGGGGTGCATACATGCCCACACACAACAAATCAGATTTCTTTCAGCTGCAGTGTCTGTTCTTCTGTAACTGAGGTGGGGTTTGCATATGTCAAGAAAGAAGAAAAAACCCTTTGTGCATGCCTAGTTGTACCTCAGTCAATTGAGAATCCAGGTGGCAAAGGACATGAAAATAGCAGGAGAGAATGGCAGCTCACAGAATCCATATGCACTACATATAGAAGGACTATCATTGTAATAACCTGTCTGTTTCAAGCCATCTGGCTGTACAATTCATCTCTCTGACTTGCAATACAAGATGAGTGATAACAGTCCTATTTAAGCAAAAGAGAAGAGCAAGGCAATCACCCAACCCTGAAGCTGTAACACAGGCCAAACTTCAGATTTTAGAGTACTTTGCAAGAGGAGCTAACAGGCCACCTAAATTCTGGATCAGCAAGCTTTAACCTGGAGAGAGTCTAATTTCACTTTCTTAGCCAAGCAGAGACAGTCAAATCAAAGATTACCCATGTAATACTATTCTCGAGGCTAGTAGCCAAGACATGTATAGTTTGGAGATTTTTGAGTTTTCCCTGAACGAAAGGTAAGGTTTGGCTTCGCACCTGCTCCCCTTTACAGAGACTGAGAAAAGAAAAGTGTGGATGATTTAAAAAAAAAAAAAAAAACACACAAAGAAAAACCAAACAACAAAGCAAAGCAAACAAAGAAAAAAACCTCCACCCTGGAAACAGACTTAAGGTAAGAATTACTTTTTCTTCGTGAAGTAATGTATGGCGTGGCTTCAGTGGTCTAAATGTCTTTTGCCATCCAAGCCAAAACAAAAACTACTAAAATAATCAATTTTTATTAAGATGGCACAGACAACAGGAAGAGTCCAAAGGGGCCAAATAAAATGGTCTACCCTATCCTCCATACCCAGGAAAGGTGTTTTCAGATGAGGAAAACATACAGCTGAGACCATGCAGGAGTTGCTTTGAGAGAGAAGACTCTGACATCAAACCGATTAGAAGGATACGATACTGCTGCTAAACACAACCTTACAGAGCAGATTACAGAAATATTTTAAGGCATGGCAGTTAGTCCTAAACCGCAGAAAAGGGAAGCAGACTGCCTGAAGAGTCTCTAAAGACTTTACGAACAGGTCAGACAAACATCTGTCAGAAAGGACATCAGAGTTGATCCTGCCTTGGACAAGAGAAGAGATGAGATTACCGCTTTAAATCCTAACTTACTCCACATGAGACAGGTGAGAAGTCTGCCCAAACATGAAAGTCCTCCACTCTGCAACGCAGGCCAGTCTGGAAGACATTTATGTGCTGCGTATACTTCAACTAAATAGCTGATACTGGACTAACTTGTATGTTACCTGTCTTTGTAAAGACCTTAGACATCCCACTTAAGTTTTGACTTAGATGTTGCAAGAATGTGGCTGGTTTGAACAGACAACCCATCAGTGGAGAAACCAAACACTGGTGCCAGAGTAACACACTTGGCAAGACTGAATCTTGCTTGACTTTTTTCAGGACTTTTTGCATTCATGATCCAGCAGGAAGTGCAAATATTTCTGATGTTAGTATGATAAGGAAAGCATCCAACAGATAGCCTGAGCTCAATATCCGTTCAAACAGAAAACCCTTCTGTCTGTGGCAGATGTGGCTCACCTGTGAAAGATGCACTTTGAATATTTGACCATTTACTCATTGCAGTTTCATTGTCAAGTAGTCCAAGATTAAAAAAAAAATACAAAAGGTTTTAAAAAATACAAATGATGCACTATAATATGGCTATCGCATAATGGCTGCACTATAATAAAAGGCATGAAAATAAGTGCACCACAGTGTGCCTCTGGAAGATTAAAGGAACAGCTCAGGAAAACAACAGTTTTAGGGTTGGGATAGGGAAGAAACAGTCAGCACCCTTGTCCTGGTTTCGGCAGGGACAGAGTTAATTTTCTTCCTAGTAGCTGGTACAGTGCTGTGTTTTGGATTTAGGATGAGAACAAAGTTGATAACACACCGATGTTTTAGTTGTTGCTAAGTAGTGCTTACACTAGTCAAGGACTTGTCAGCTTCCCATGCTCTACCGACTGAGAAGGCTGCAGGTGCACAAGAAGCTGGGAGGGGGCACAGCCAAACTGGCCAAAGGGACATGCCATACCATGTGACGTCATGCTCAGTACATAAACTGGGGGAAGCTGGCCGGGGGGGCCGCTGCTTGGGGACTGGCTGGGCATCAGTCGGCGGGTGGTGAGCAATTGCATTGTGCATCACTTGCTTTGTGTATTATTATTATTATTATTACTATTATTATTTTATTTCAATTATTAAACTGTTTTTATCTCAACCTATGAGTTTTTCTCACTTCTACTCTTCCAATTCTCTCCCCCATCCCACCGGGGGCGGAGGGGGGGAGTGAGCGAGCGGCTGTGTGGTGCTCAGTTGCCGACTGAGGTTAAACCACGACAACCTTTTTATAAACTTTCTTTTTATAGAGAAATCTTAAAAACTACTTTTAAAATTGTTACTTTTTATGCTGGGAACAAACAACGGGCTGTTTTTTCCCCTTCTCAGAAGAACTGTGTCTGACATAAATTGGGAATTCTTCCAGCCCCTCAACGAAACAACTTGAGAGCCTAAATCTTTTACAAGACTTTTATTCTCCTGCAATTTTTTCTTCAAATTTTTC